TGACGAGAGAAGGAGCTTGAACTCTCGACGAGAGAGCGATCTGGCAATTGAGTCAGTAGTTGCGAGATGTGCGCGTTCACTTCTACACAGACGGCGTTGTGGAGCCGAGCGGACCGAACCCCAGAGGGTCAACGAAGTCAACATCGTACGCCGTAAGGGCCATGTCGTACTCAAGGATTGGCTCGTCGGTGGAATCCAAGCGGAACGAAGCTGGTCTTCATTGAAAGTGTCGAAAAGCGCGACGCAGATACTTTGGAATGAAGTATTCAGCAGTATGCCGTTCCTGGAGAAGCCATTGATCGATGTGGTCTTGTTTCAGCAACCCCTTTAGCCTGATCTACATCAACGAGACGGCTAAGCACAGCGTCAACTTCGTCCTTCGTTCGTGGGGGATGACCACTTCTTCAGAGTTCCATGGAAGTAGCAGCACGACAGCGAAAACCCCTGCACGAACTATGACGGCCTACCTCGATACAGTGTCCCATACACTCATGTTAGCCAACCCAATGGTCCTCTTTCGGGTCACCAAATTCTAAACGAATACGCTGTTCTGATGAAATGTGACAGGAGCTCTGGAAAGTGTAACCCGCGCGGCAAATTTTGGATTATACGAAACTGCAATGTTTACGGCTCATCCAATACCGAGCCTCCTTCCTTAGCTTGGCCACGAAGCTATCTCGCAGAAAGGTTCGCTGAGAGGGCGCCAAAAAAGCGCCTCCGCGCTCCCTCCCTCCTAGGTTAGCACCGAAGTCTACGCAGCTTCACGCATGGTCTTTATTTTCTGAGAAGGAAAAAGCTTGACAATATGTACCAGATCTTTCAACGAGTTGTGCTTTGATTTTACAATTTATGCATTCGTTATTCTGAAAACTTGTGTATTGGCCTTGACAGTGAGTTTGCGAGGAGCACAAGTGTCAAGGATCCTTAATCTTAAGGAGTGATTCACGTAATCCTTACTTGATAACTCTTTCTGACATATTAGCAATGGTGGCAAAACCCACTGTCCAGTCTTTCCAATCCCTCCAGTGATAGTGTGTAATTTGGCGGGACTCTTGCAGGTATTCGATTTCAAGTGTTGATATAATGAGCGAGTCTTCCCACTTTCTTTCCTTCAGAACCACATTCAATTGATCGTAACTCAGTGTCATATCGCAAATGCTAGAATTAGAGAGCATTGTAAGGTACCATTTTACCGTAGAGAAGTCCCACGAAACTGAAAGGAGACCTGAAATATTGTTAGAAAAAGCCTAAAATGATACTTGGACCGAGCCTGTTGCCTGCTCCTAAGCAAGCTGGTAGCGGCCAGAGCTTTCTGACAGTGCTGGCATCCAGGCAGAGTCCAAAGCCAAGATAGAGGCAGCAAGCATAGAGTGTAACA